CTCGTGGCAGGCCTCCAGGCAGCCGTGGCCCGGCTGGAGCAGGGCCCCGGGGTCGGCGCACGAGGTGCACTCGGCCTGGCCCGGGCCGGTGCACGCGCCGCAGGACTGGTGGCAGGCATGGCAGCGGCCGTCCTCGTGCGGGAAGAAGCCACCGGAGCAGGCCTCCTGGCAGCCGTGGCCCGGCTGGAGGAGGAAGCCCGGCCGGCAGGCCAGGCACTTGCCCGGGTCCGGGTCGTGGCACTCGGCGCAGGCCGCCGGGCAGGGGGCGCACCGGCCGTCGACCGGGTGGAAGCCCGGGTGACAGGCCGGCAGGCAGCCGGCCCCGGGCTGGAGGACCTGCCCGGCATCGGGGCAGGCCGTGCAGTCGGCCGCCAGGGGCCCGGCACACTCGGCGCAGGCGGCATCACACCGGAGGCAGGTGCCGGCCTGGCGGTGGAAGCCGGAGTGGCAGGCGTCCAGGCAGCCGGCCCCGGGCTGGAGGACCTGGCCGGGGTCGGCGCAGGCCGTGCACTGGTCCGGCAAGGGCCCGGTGCACTCGGCGCAGGTGGCATCGCACGAGGGGCACATGTTGCCGGTCCAGGGGAAGGACCCGGCCGGGCAGGCATCGTGGCACACGCCGGAGGCCAGGTGCAGCATGCGGTCCCCGAGGCAGGTGAGGCAGTCGTGCGGCAGGGGCCCGGTGCATGTGGCGCAGGCGCCGGCGCAGGGCTGGCAGGTGCCGTCCTGGCGGAAGGCCGCCAGGCCGGGCGGGCAGGCATCCAGGCAGCGGCCCTGGGCCAGCAGCCGGCCCGGGGGGCAGGCGGTGCACTGGTCCGAGCCCGGGCCCTTGCACTGGTGGCATGATGGGTGGCAGGGCTGGCAGGCGGTGCCGTCGGTGTACATGTCGTCCGGGCAGCTGCTGACGCACCGGCCCTCGAGGAGGACGTGCCAGATCTCGCATATGTCGCATGTGGTGGCGTCGGAGCACACGCGGCAGTTAGACGGACAGGGCTTACACCGGTGGCCATCTTCCATGTCGCGGAAGTGCCCGATGCCCGGGCAGGCATCGGTGCACACGCCGGCCAGGGGGATCATGCTGTCGGGGGGGTGGCACTGGAGGCAGAGGTGCGGGGCATCGGGCATGCATTCGGCGCAGTGGGCGCCGCATGGTAGGCAGGCCATGGCCTCGAGGTCGAGGTACGTGCCGGCCGGGCAACTGTTGTAGGGGATACAATGGCCCTCCGGGGCGAGCAGGTACGGGGGCTGGCACCTGAGACAGGCCCCCGGCCCGCGGTCGGGGTCGCACACGGTACAATGGGGCACCGAACAGGCGCACGACGGGTGGTCGGGCTCCGGGCAGGTCCGCGCACAGGGCATGCTGCTGTCGGGGTTGAACACGGCCTCCGGGTCGCGGCAGCTGGTGCAATGGGAGGGAGAGGCCTCGGTGCACGTGTTGCAGGAGGGGTGGCACCTTTGGCAGATGTCCCACGGCTCCGGGTCATGGTCCACCCACAGGTGTAGGGGGTACATGCCGGCCGGGCAGGCGGCCAGGCAGTGGCCTTCATGGAAGACGTAGCCGGGCAGGCAGGCGAGGCACCGGTCGGCCTGGGGCCCGAAGCAGCTCCGGCAGCCCGGGGCGCAGGCCACGCAGGCGCCCGCCTCCGGCATGTGCACGCTGCCGGACGTGCACACTAGGCAGTGGGCCTGGGCGGCGGAGGAGGCGCACTTGTGGCACAGCGGGTCGTGGCATGGCTGGCACCGGCCGGGGTTCAGCGGGTCCGGCCCGGTGCCAGTGAGGCAGGTGATCTCGCACCAGCGGGTGACCGGGTCCAGGTAGAGGCCGGGCGCGCACTGGGTGCACTCGCGGGCCCCGGGCCCGGAGCACCGGGCGCAGGTGCTGTCACACACCTGGCACCGGGCGTCGACCAGGGCCAGCCCCGGGGCGCATGCGGTGCACTGGTCCGGCCCGTCCGGGCATGCATCGCACCCGGGCACGCAGGCCAGGCAGGTGTGGCCGTCCGAGGCCAGGTTGGTCCCGGCCGGGCAGGTGTGGTCCTGGGCCTGGGCAATGGGCCCGGGGCCCGGGGCGAGGGCCGGCGGCCGGTCGCCGGTGGGGCAGGCGGTGCACGAGCCGTCTGTCCGGCGGCGGG